GGGGGGGGAGGGGGGGGGGTCTGGAAAATGTAACTTGGGACCTGGGAGGCCTGAACTTACATTTTTTTTACTCCCCCCCCCCCTAGGGTGCGTTGGCAGATCGAAGATACGCCAATCACTAAGAAATTATTTGCGGGTGGGAGTCACTTAATGAAATATGTTCTAAATAAGTAATTAACTAAAAGTATTATTTGGCAACTGTTTGCTGATGCCTCAACACCAAGGAAAACATAGCCTCCAAAAATGCAGGACCAGGACACAGGCGAAAGGTGAGATTTGCAGACGTCAAAAATTGTAACTTACAATTAGTCCACGCATCCAAACCCTCAGATTTTACAGGGAATACATGGGTTCTGTGAGAAAGTTTGACCTCACAAATTGTAACTTACATTTTGGCCACATGCCCAACTCCCCAGATTTTACAAGGAACTGGGGTGTCCCCCTGAGGTACTTACATTTTAGCATACTGAAAAGCACACACGTCCGACCACACGAACCGCAAGCAGGGGGCAAGAAACCAGGGGATCAAACGGCGTTGAATATCCTTGTTCTCCTGCCCGATAGAACAGGCAGCCTCTCCTTTATTGTTCTCCATTATTGCTTATTATGTATGGAGTGTGATCGTCTGTTATGTTTGGGTTTCGCTTTGTTGCCTTCCTTTGGGGTCTTCAGTGGGAACATGTATGTTCCTGTTTCTTGGCAGTTTGCTTTGGGTGTGCTTCCTGTTCTTCTTTGTTGATGATGACTCAGATCCACTGCTGTTCCCTCATCTGCTTTGTTTTTGTGTGGCTTGTTGCTGCAGAAGGAGTTGTGTATGGAAGACCCCCCGGCCAAAAAGAATTGTAACAAAACAACATATATATTTTTTATATTTGTTTTTTCAGTTCAAAAAATGCTAATGATGCAGCCGGCCGCGGGCAGCATCATTCAACTTGATGGCTGACGGCTGACATGTTTCGGCAGGCATTTCCTTGAAATGCCGCATTTGACCATGCGGGACGTGGTCGTGAGCAGAAATTAGTGTGGGGATGGGGGGGGGTCTAAACTTGTAAGCGCTCCTCTGTGCCTCAAAAATGTAACTTACATTTTTGAGGTCATTCCCCAGGAAATCACCCATGAGGCCTCAAAAATGTAAGTTACCTTTTTTGAGGCCACCTCAAAGTTAATGTAATTACATTTTTTGAGGCCCTGCGCGCAGGAAAATGTAACTTACAATTTTCGACGCCCCCCCTCAGGATAGGGTAGGGAGTAGCAGTAGAACATGTAATCATGTGATTGTTTTGGTTGCGTTTTCCACACCTCGCTGGCCAGATACCTTCCAAAGAGCAACTCATTGAAGCAGCCGAGAGGCAGGCTGCTGAGGAAACGCGTGCACCATTGATTAGACCATGACATGGTGTCGGATACAGGAACTTTCAGGCACTTGATCCCAGTGCACCGTAGTTCATGGGTCGCCAGATGGAAGGCTTATAAAAGTGTCCCTCGAGGTTCTGCAAGGAGCAGGGTGTGGAGGAGCACCAATCACAATTATCAGCCTGGCTAGAGAAGCAGGCTGGCCTTCGGTGTTTTGCCTATTCCGGTCATTATGGCTCTACCTCGTGAACGTCTCAAACACAAATAGAAGAGCGGACACCTCGGCAGATGTTCACTGTCCTAGAGTGTTGGCTTGTGTTGACCCAATTGCTGCCATGTCTCAGCGTTGATCTTGTGGATGTGATTGAGGCCGAGAGCAAGCAAGACAATGTCACGCTGATGCTTGCCTCATTCAGCCCGACCATATAATGTGCAGACAATACAGAAATAACTGTATATAATATACATTACATTCCATCAGGACGAATTGCCTACTGTAAGTGGTGGTTAATAATGTTGGTCAAACTTGTGTTTTGTTTGATCCGATGGATCCAGACGTGGCTTAGCCCATAGGTTTTGCAATGGGAATCCAACAGTCAAACCACTCGATGCGTAGGCGATGCGCAGGCGAGGTTGCCACTTCCATCCAAACAAAATCGCCCACGACCCATCATGGAAGCCGGAAGACTTGGGACGATGTCGGCAGAAATTTATTTACACCGGCCCCTGATCAATGCGGTTGTAGGAAGGAGTTGGATTCTAGTTCTCTTGATCAATCTTGATCAGATGAAACAAACATGCACAGGGTTGCTCTGCAGAGGTTTGAATGGCCCATAGTGTACGCAAATTCCGCGCAAGCAAGACAAGTCACGAGGACTGCCGTCCATGTTTTTTGGTTCGTGACCCTGGACTT